GAAGAGAAAGTCCCCCGCTGCACCACAGCCAGGGGGTATGCTGCACCACAGCCAGGGAGGTATGCTGCACCACAGCCAGGGGGTATGCTGCACCACAGCCAGGGGGTATGCTGCACCACAGCCGGAGGTATGCTGCACCACAGCCAGGGGGTATGCTGCACCACAGCCAGGGGGTATGCTGCACCACAGCCAGGGAGGTATGCCAGCATCAATACACTCAGGACTAATATTCCCCATTCTGTTATCTTCCTTTGAGTGTCCTCAAACCACATACTCCTGGGTACTCCTCCCTACCCATCAATCAATTTCCCCCAGACAAAGCTAGACATCCTTAGCTTCCCAGGCAAATGTTTAGAAAGGCCCCTTGCCTACTATGTGTTCCTGCCTCAGCATGTAGGGGACTGTCCTCCGTCCTGGAACTGCTGAGCCCCAAGCAACTCCTTTCTATCATGCCTACTTTTCAAAAATGATTTGTGGTCCAGATATTAATCGGGAGCCAAGGCCTCTTCTGTGTTCTGGTTTGGTTACCTACCAATGCACTTGCATGTACAGACATACAACACATGTGCACACCCATGCAAGCATACACACATACACGTGAACACCCACCATTCATGGGCAAGCACACCTGCACAACTCACAGGTGAGCTCACACTGACAATGTACACCCACAGTGATGCAACACATATAGATACACCATGCATGTGTGCTCTTTGCACATTTCCCCGCAAACCCAACGCATGAGCAGAAATGCGTGTGCGCATGTGTCCTCATACATGAACACTACACAAACACAGCAGACATGAATACTCTTTGCTTTTGCAAACATACCATCCCACACTATAATGGCCTAATGCACATGAGTGCACACATGGGTTGTGCTCTTCTAAATGAGACCTGATAGACTCCCTACAAGCTCTTCCCTTGAGGTCTGGTCCTTTTCCCAGGGAAGCCTAAGAAGCCACTGTGGGTTGTTCATCTGACACTGGGCTCTGGACTCCATGGTCCTGAGTGGCCTTTTAAAAGCCCCAAAGTCAGTCACCAGTACTGCCAGTAAGTATGTGTACTTTACAGTGTAGTTTCTGAACAGACTTGTCTCTCCGGGCTGTGTGCACAGGGCCAGTTGCTGCCTATCCCCTGATGCTAGTGCAAGGGAGTGTGTGCAATGGTAAGGCCGAGTTCCTTATCAAGAAGGGAATTTGGGGGCCCTTTGAAGTGGCCTTTCTGAGTCCAGAGGCTTGGTTTTGGTGCATACTCCATGGCTGACACACTCACCTATAAATAATGGTGGTGACAGGTCCCCTGTCAGCACCCGCTGATGGACGGCTCCTTCTCCTGCCATTACAGCCTTGTGACTGTGGGAAAATTAATTTAAGTGGTAGTTAATTTCTAATGAATTCCATTCAAGCGGCTAATATGGTCCCTCGGTGTTATGGTAACCTTCACGGATCATTGCATTATGTAAATAAATTCTACTTTATGCTGGTTTATTAAAAAAAAGAGAGTAAAGATTGGGAAGTCTGGGTAAGTCTCACACAGCCGCACAAACAACCCACAGTGGCTGGAAACTCTTTAAAGGGGAAAATACAAACTACTCTTTAGTCTGTCCAAGAAGGGACAGCCACAGAATGGTGGAATCATCTATTTTTCGGGCTTTGCATACACAAGCTCTCTCCCGTCTGAATCCATGTAGCTTATGTTGTATTCCAAAGAGAGGGTTTCTACCTTAAGCCATAATGAACTTGTCTTGTACCTTAGTCTCCATTTCAACACCTAGGTGGGGCTGTCTAGGTGAGGCTTGTCCTAGATGTGGGTGGAAGGAGCTTGGCTTCAAGTCACACTTAGAAGAGGAGAGTGCCACCAGGAACGAGTCCTTGGCATCTCTGTGTAACCTGTAGTGTGTGGTTTGAGGTATGTGGTGTGTGGGTGTAGTGTGTATGCTGGGGGAAGTAAGCCTGAAGCAGCTCTGGGAAGAAGAGCAGACCATCTCTCCCTAGGGACGTGCTCACTCACCCTGCCCGAGGCAGCCCTTCCCACGGTGCACAGGAGACACACAGGGGCCCGGTGCTTGGTGCACACAGAGGAGTCTAGATGCTCTTGAAACTACTCCAGCCTACATCTTCATTCTCTCCCACAGTGAAGCTCTTCCCTGTCTTCCTCTACTCTACTCTTTAGCCCTGTCACCATCATTCCTGGGAGGTGCTTGGCTTCTTGGTGGCATGTGTAGCATTAAACACCTGTCTACACTGATGCTGTCCTAGCTCTTGGCTTCTCTTTACCTAGATATATGCCTTTCACACAGTTCGTGCTGTCTCTTCTTCCTGTGGGTCTATGCAGCCCATAATCTTCAAGGTCATTCATTCTGTTTTCATCTAATACAATATTCAGATCACCGGGAGACGGTCCTTAAAATAGCAGCTACCATGATGGGTAATGGCTCAAAGGCGGTGCTCATTCAGTATTCCACACCACGGCCTCTCATAAAGCCTCTTTTGTCTCATCTTTGTCACTGTATGAAGAGGTTCCTAGGTTCCTGGCCATCTCTGTCTAAATAAGGAGTATACAAGCCACAGTCATGGGCTGCCAAGAACATGCCTACATCTTTATTGTTTAACATTGAGAAGTGCACATTTGAAACAGTGAAATTGAGTCACACACACAAAAATCTATCTCATCATGTTGCAAGTTGACCGTTTTGTATTAGGTCTCATTCATAGTTTTCTTGGGCCACATTTAGCTTGTAGGCTGTGGTGAACTTTCAAGGGCACTAGTATCCTGCTGAGATGTCAGGGGGGCAAACGTGCTTAGAGACTAGTTGGGAGCTGTGCTAGTGAGACATCAGATCTAACTGAAGGGCACAGGTGGCATCAGCCAGTGATAACTGACCTGGCCAAAGATGCCAAAGGGAGGGCCAGTCTGGTCAGTGTCCGGCATCCAGTGCAGGCAGAGGGCTAGAGACAGTGTCTTTTGCTTTGCAGGTTTCCATTTGGCCATCAGAGCCTACAAGGTCGAGTCAGAACATTGTGAAGCAGTTCCAGGGAAAGGAACTAATAATGTTAACTAATGTTTCTACCACATTTTACCCAAAGAATTAAATGCTTTTCTGGGAAAACCAGCTTGGTAAATTAAGGCTTTAAATTTTTAAATTTAGGGGAAAAAAAAGTACAGTATTTTAAGACTTAAATTTTTCATCATGACAAAAATAAAAATCAACCAACCAGTGAAAGGAAGAAGTGTGCTCTTACCAGACTCCTGTAGCATGTCCCTACCTGCACTCAGGATGTGACAGCTTGAGTGGCTACCTTCAAGTGTTCCTGATCAGGTATCAGGTCAATGTAACTTATTCCTAGTGGCCAGGGAAGAACCCACTAACTCTATCCTGTCAGCATACCCAATCAAGCAGAAGACTGAACTGAGGGTCCCTCAGGCCTACCAGAGCTGAGATGGCAGACCTGACACTGGAATTGCAGAAGCCAGGTCCTAAGAAATTATTTCTGCCCCCATCCCTCACTCACCCTGGAAGTTGGTGGGGCAGGTTGAATTTTCTGCACTGTGAACAGGCCCCTGAGGGTCACTTGTCACTGGTATGCTGCGCCATCTCCAGAAGAAAGGACTACAGCTAGTGCCCTGAAGATGAGACAAACTGTCTTACAAAGCCATTCTCAATTTCTCAAAGCTGTGAACCATGAGAAATGTCTAATAAGAGGTGAGCCAGGCACTTCCCACTTCTAAAAGGCCATAAGTGTCTTCTTATCAACAGAAATCCTACCCCACTGGGCTTGGCCTGTAGCCAGAGGTTAGGGTGAACGAGTTAGCTACTCAAGTTGAGTTATACTGAAAACAACTTCAACTGGAGAAGTCTGGAAATAAAAGGATGACAAATGTCCTGTATTACTAATGCAGTGACAGGCACAGATCGATTCTTGATTGACATTATAGCTCCAAAACTTATAATTTCCTATCTTATAGATAAGGAACTGAGGCACCCAGAATGGAATGGAATGTCACACAGCTAAAAATGGAGTTGGGATTCACATCTTACTTCTCCAACTAAGTCCCAGAAGCAGAACTAAAATGGCCTCATAGAAGTGACCACAATGGAGAAAAGGGTGCTTACAGCCAGGCCTCAGGGCCCTCTGCTGGCCAGGTGTTTAAGTGGGTTTCTGCTCCTCACCTCCTGCTGCCTGGGCCCATCAGAGGAAGGCTTGTAAACCAGCAGTGTGTGTGTGACCTTGTGTGGATAATGAACCTGAGGACATGCTTATACTATTGTTCGTGCCAGGTCCTTCTACTAAGTTGCTGGTTTTACTCATCAAGACTAGCTGTTCCTCTGTGTCCCCAGACTCTCCTCCAGGCTTCATGTTCACATGTACGCTCACACATGCTGTTCAAAATGCAACAGATCACAGCACATGGTTCTCCTATCTTCTTTAAAAATACATTATTGCCAGGATCCGTCCTCTCAAAGCCTTGTCTGGAGGGTCCCTGCTTACACCTACCTGCTCACCAAGTATCAGACCTTTACCTGTCTACAGTCCCAAGAGCTATTATTTAAGACCCCAGGAAAAGGCCATGGTTCATCTCCTGTAACCACCCACTAAAAACACCTCTGATTTCATCCCACTCCAGAAAATGATGCAGAGTACCAGCTAGCATTCCCTAGAGGGGACAAAGGGTCCACAGCACTTTGCATCAGAGTTACAGGGCCACAAAACATGCTATAGTCTGGAATGTAAGTAGATTACACAAGGTGAACCTGAAGTTCACTGGACTAGTGAGATTTAAAACCACAAAAAGGCACAGTGCCCAAGTCCTACTCCAAGGGGAGCACAAGCCCCAGCCCCGCTTTTTAACACTAATGAATGTAAGCTTTGAAAAACAGCTGGTGTCTCAATGCTCCCTTCAGAAGCCCGTGTGCTTTGTCATCTTCGTGGAGCTGAAAATGGACTAACCTTCTGAAAGCATAAATTTACGGTATAAAGAACACTACTACTCCAGTGTTTAATAACAATCCTGACATTTTTAATTGGTGTCTGAAAAACAACGTTTTCCTTGAGCAAAGGTTGGGACAGTCACTATCCAACAACATCGTTTATTTTTAAGCTGGGGTTGCAGTGCTCCACTCAGGAACCTTCCGGCTCAGTTGGCTTATTGGAAGCACTTGCATTCTGTGGCATTTGATAACGAGTGAGAAGCAGAGGCAGGAGGTTCTCTGCAAGTTTCTGGTCAGTCCGGGCTACAGAGCCAGACCTTGTCTCAAGAGATAAAACCAGCTTTGTATTCCAGTTTCTTCCGTCCTGCAGCGCAACACACAGCTGCAGGAACAGTAACAATCCTCCTCCATCTGCAGCTTTGGGCTGACTAGAATGGAAAGAACTGGGCTACGATTCAGCGGGGAAAGCGGGCGAGTTCAACAAAACCTTAAGACCCAAAGATCTCAGGTTCCAGGACGCTTACATTTATTTTTCTTTGACACGGTGAGACGAATTCCCCGCGGGCATTTGCCCTTACATTTGCCTCTGCTTATGCCTGGGGTTGGTCTTACAGAGCACGAACCAGCGCCCACGCCTCTTTACCATGTAGCAGTCCCTGCAGCGCTTCCTGAGGACACCCTTGGTCTTGAAGCCCTGTGTAAGCTGCAGGTGCGGCACGGGGCGGCCCCAGAGAAGTGAGCGCGCCTCTGCGCAGGGTCTGGCGCTTGGAAGAGTCCCCAAGAGGAATGAGGAGAAGGCCCGGGGCCTCACCGCGAAGCGGCTCAGGTGTAGGAGCGGATGCATGAGCGAAGCCACCGCGCTTCTCACGAGCAGGGTGGCCATGCTGAGGCCAGACCTGTGGGGAAGAGAAGCGTGATCACTGGCTGCTGCACGTCTGCCTGTCTACCCCTAGTGTAGGACAAAACCGCCCTGCCTGGAGTCAAGAGGTCAGAGCACACTTGGCAGGCTCGCCCTCCCGGCCCCGCGCCCCCACCGGCCCC